GAAATAAATACATATCTATCTATCTATCTATACATACGCACACATATACACACACACACACACCACATACCTATATATAACACACACACGTGATTTTGAGCAGCCCTGCCACCCCGTAGCAGTATTTCTGCTATAGGGTGGCGGGGAAGCAGTTAAAACAGAACACAATGGTGATGCTTCACTGTTTTCACAATGCAAATCTACATGACCCATTTATATAAAACAGGGAACAAATATCATTATCCCCACCTCATTATACCCCTCAAGTTTATTTAACATTCACTCTCTGATGTGAAGCCCATTATGTCCTACAGAGTTATCTTATGTTTAACACAGCAAAAGAACTTCATGACTAGGACAGTCATTTAACTTGCACAGGTCACATGTGTGGGCTCTCCCCCTGGCCTTTTCTTTTTCCTCCTCTTTAGTCATTTAAAAAGCACTCTGCTGGATTTTTAAATGGATGCAAAAGTTATGGTCAACTTTTTTTTTTTAAACAATGCACCCTCTGTGTGGTTAACTGCTTATTTAACCAGTTTCTATACAGGTAGGAAGAATACACTCTATACGCTAAACATGAAGATTCAGTAGTTACTTACCCAAGTTGGTCGAGATGGGGTTGCCTCGCTTTGTTCAGGTTTTGTAGGTGAAATTCCGTCATACTGAGGCAAGGGAGTAGGATAAAGAATTGAAGGCATTTCTATATTGAATCCAGGAAGTCCATGCAGCATATATTTCTAAAATAAAATAGTATTTTATTATTGTAAACATCAAACCCCATCGCCATGAAAAGCTGAACCCCATCCCAACCTTCTGAAACTTTACTGCACATATCCCTTGCTAATGTAGCTTCCACGAGTGATCTAGCATTGCCTCTTAGTGACATCATCATCTCCTCCAGTCTTTGGACACCTAAAAGGTTCTCACCAGTGGACAGGCAATAGAAGTGTCATGTCACCTGAAGGAGTACCCCCCTCCTCTGCAGTAAAGATAGCAGTGTGGGGACCTGGCTTTTTTATGTAACAGTGTTTAGCTAGAGAAGGAGGAAGACCTTGAGCAAAGCTTTATGACAAGGGTAGGTTTAATAATAAAAGTGAATTTCTAGTCAGCTCTACTATTACACATGTACTACAATGTGGCAAAATCAGGCATCTATGATGTAAACAAGCAGCAGAATCAATATTTATCTATAAAAAAAACCTGTCAAAATATAGTAGAAATGGCTCAAAAGGTACAACAGAAAAAATATATTACCTTAAGTACAGCAAGCAGTGATCCAAGTTGATCTGTTTCCTTCAATGACATTTTACTACCATTTACTATAGACTGTATGCCTTTCAAAGCATTCTGCAGTAACTGAAGAAAGAACATTTGGTCATAATTTGTACATAAAATAACACAACACAATAAACTTAAAACAATTCTTAACATGAGCTATTGACGCAAAACTCAAAAATCTTTCAAAAATCATTTTATGCACAGGTGAGAGCTCAAAGTGTGTCCAAAGTCTAATCGATTTTTACCTTAATGCATTCTCTGCATTTGCCTCCTAACATTTACCCGAGTCCTCTGTCCTCTCTCAATCCAGCGATGAGCCCAACTGCAGCAATGCTTGTCCCTCTTCCTCTTTTCACAGAACAGACTGAGAGCAGAGGGAACCATTGGCTTCTGCTGCTGTCAGTCAAATTTTGTGAGGATGGAGCTGGGAGGTGTGGGGGGTTGGTGGATGAGGGATTTGTGGGGGATTTGAGTCACAGTGTGTGTCCATGAATGCACATAGCCTGAAAGGGTGCAGAGAGAAGAGGAGGGGGAAATTATACTCCAGTCATGGGATAAGATTTTATGTTTTATAGTGGCAGCAATTGAACATAAGTTTCCTTTTTTTTTAAAGCACTGCTGGAAATGGCTTTGAGCATGGGGTTATTTATTTATATGGGATAGAAATGAAACATTCCCAGAATAGAAGAAGCCTATGACATGGCAGATGGAGGGAGAACTGTGCTAAAGGAATCACCTCTTCCTGAAATCGTCAGATCCTATAGTACTTGCACACTGCAAGCAAATAAAAATGATTATTGAGAAGCAAAACACTAGAAGTAAAAAAATAAAAAATACTTGATTTTATTGTGTTTTAACTTTCAGAAAAAGTAAGCCTGCACAGTCAATCATCTCATACTCAATATTTAGATTCCTACATAACCCTTGCGTCTTTTTAATTCTTAAACAAACTCCACGGAAGAAAAACATTTAGTCTTGTAGTGGATTCCCTCCCCACTGCAAGGGTTAGAGAAGGTAAACCTAACATTTTGTATTCCTGATATGTGCCTGCTGTACCATGTACTTGTATAAAAAAAAGTATCCTGTTCTCTTTGTATTGCTTCCTTTGTATGAAATCCCTGGTGTTCCTGGCAGTTTCTCTGCTTTCCTATAAAAAACTGACCACACTAAGCAGGAGAGCGCAGCATGGTCAGTTCTCTAGCTGTGCTGAGAACTCAGCCTGCTCTCCTCCAATATTCAGACTTGTTCTGACACATCCTCCCTGCACGGCCATTCACTGGGAAGATCACTGTGCTGCTGCCCACCCCTCCCCCAGTTCATATGCAGCTGAAAACCGAGGGAATGTAATCACTTATATAAAAGGGGGAAAAAAAAAAAAAAGTACTTATTTTTTTCATATCTATACACAAATGTTTTGCCTTTCATTTCTATTTTAAACTGAATAGGTTATTTTACAAGGAGAGGGTTTACTATCACTTTAACTGCGCTTTTGCCTAGGGGGAGGAGGATATACTTACCTTATTCTATGCTTCCCGGCATCCAGCACTCTTGGCCACTGTCCGACGTCCTGTGTTATGGGTTGGTCTTCAGCATCTTCTCACACAATGCTGGACTGCTGCATTGTAAAAGATGCTCCATACACTTAAGTGAACCTGTAAGTTTTACAGTATGGACAAAATACAGGTTCACTTTAAAAGAAAGGTCAATTACTTACAGTGCAATTTGCTATCTCATCAACGATGTTCATTTTTGGACTCTGGAGGACTGCAAGAAATATTTTAAAACAAGTCATTCTGTATGGTTCCTCCAGGTAAGGCTGTCCAGGAACACTGAAACAAAAAAGAGAAAAAAAAAAGGCAGTTTTGAGTATAAATATATTGGACTAAGTAAAAACATTGAGCATACAATTGCTACAAAAAAACGTTGCATCTAATATGATGCAAACAGAAGTGCATGTTAACACTTGAAAAAAATAAATATTTTGTGTGGGCATATTTCCCATAATGAATTACTGAAACATGAATTTTATCCACCACACTGTTTTGCTATATTTAGAGGTATTCAACCAGGCAAGCTTAAATTCTACAATCTGTAGCACTGAACTACTTTACAGAAACACACGTTAAGAGCAGCAATTTCCCTGTGTATTGACTGTTTCTGTCTGCATGTGATGCATAATTTTCATCGGCTAACAGCCAATTGCAAAACAACCTTGGAAAATGATAAGAGTCCACATTAGATACCATAACTCTGGATGGGAGGTAAAGCCAGTGTAACTTCTTTGCCTTACCTAAGTTTTTTTTACTCCCCCTTTTGGGCAAACTGTACTCTTTGCTTTTGTTTAATTGTCTTCATCACCTGTTTCTATCCATACACAGTAGGGATCCTTTCCGGAATACAGCGCTAGCTACAAAATTCAATAAAAACCGGCCCATGTATATAAAAACAGCCAGACGGGAACAGTGCAGGAGCGGGTTGGTGTTCATAAACGGCGCCCGCATTTTCCGCCTGTGCACGCTCCCTGGGAGCATGCGGCACAACGATCTGGTGCCCACCGTGTCCGGAGAACACCGATTGCTGTACGGGACCTCTGTGTGAGGTCCCAATCAGTGATCACATGAATAGTAGGAACCAAGATGTTACTTCTGACATCATTGCTTACTACTTGTGAAATCTGTGAATGATCACAGAGATCACATGGTACAAGGCTATTCACAACAGCCTTGTACCATGTGACAAGCTGTGACCAATCACAGCTCTCACAGTATTTCTCAATGGCTGCAAGAATGCAGTCAGAGAGAAGGAGAAATGATTGCTTTTACAGCCTTTATGGGTGTAAAAGCAATCAGTGTAAAAAAAAAATATATATATATATATATAATATATCTTCATGACCCCCCAGAAGTAGTGTGACAGTATGTTAGAAAAAAAAAAACCAAAACAAATAATATAAAAAAAAAAAATGTAAAAAAAATAATTCAGAAAAATTATAAATTTTTGGTTATAAACTAACTTGGGTTATTTTTTTTTACTAAAAAAGACAGCTGAATACATTTTGGCCAAGATTTATGAAGAAAGATTATTTATTTGCAAACTTTTATAAGAAAAACACTTTTTTCAAAATTTTTGGACTTTTTCATTTATATAGAAAAAAAAAAATCCCAGTGGTGAATAAATACCACCAAAATAAGTTTTATCTGTCTCAACAAAATTGGTAAAAATTCATATGGGTACAGTGTTGCATGACCGCACAATTGTCATTCAAAGTGTGACAGCGCTGAAAGCTGAAAATTTGCCTGGACAGAAAGGGCGTAGAAGTGTCAGGACTTGAAGTGGTTAAAAACCTTCACCACCATACTTGTTTCACAGCGCTGTGAGGTCCTTTTTGCATAATGCAACCATTTGATTGTAGAAAAGTTTAGATCAATGACATTCCTAAAGACTTTATATCTCAGAACTGGTGACTCTACGTTGTAAGGGATGCGTTAATAATGAGTTTAAGGTGTTAACCAACTTGAAAGCAGCAGAACACTGTTCTGAATGAAAAAAAAAAATTGTTTACGCCTTTGAAATGTTTTAAAGTGGTACTAAACCCACAACAGTAAAATCAGTCTGTATATGCAGTAAAGCGCGCTGGTAAGTCCTCATGCACACTGGACATTTTGATAATGCTGGTAACGTAAGCTGTGTAAAGTCATGTGAGTTTTCCAGCTTTTTAGCTTTTTTAGCGTTTTGCTGCATTTGCATTTTTAGCCTTTTTTTTTTTTTTTTTACCAAAAAAATATATTTTTTTTTGCTCAAAAAAAACGCTGGTTTGCGGCGTTTTTTTTTAATCCACATATTTCAGCGTTATAGCATTTTTACAGCTAAAAAAAAACTCCTCTAGAAACCCACTAGTCCTGGGTTTTTTTTCCAGCCAAAAAAACGTTGATTACAGTCTATGCGTGCATGGGCACATAGGATAACATGCTTGGGAGGGGGGGGGGGGGGGGGGGCTGTCCTGGCGGGCTCTACTTGGCTGGGTTTACTAGCTGTAGAAAAAAAAAAAAGTCAAAAGCCAAAAAAAGCAGCAGCTGTAAAAATGTCAAGTGTGCATGAGGACTTATACTCACTCTGAGACCTAAGGGGTATAAGTCCACAAAAAGGTTGTTTGATCCTGTCTTCTCTGATCCTCCCCTTCTCCTGTCCCCAATCCATCTGCTGATAGTACAGAGATTTAGGAGTCACTCTGCACATACTCAGTTTAGTGTGTATTGCTACAAAGTTTTGTTTTTTTTTTCTTTGGGAGGGTGCATGTGATCAGCACAGGGTCAAACAGTACTATCCAGACAGAGGATCAGGGGCTATGCAGCTTCATAGGACAGTCAGAGCAGAATGAAAAACTCCTCCTACAAGCTTTTACCAGTGCAAAGATGGACACGGATAGAAGTCACAAGACTGCTATGCACTGCTG